AAAAAAGTCAAAATTAGATCTATTTGGCACCGCTGTCAAAGGAAAACACAAACTAATATAAAGTAGTTTATGAGTGATTATAAATAATTATAGTTAATGTACAATACTTGCAAATAAATATCCAACTTCTTGTTGTACCCATTTCTACGGCATGATACCATAGCATGATAAAAGCATTATTAATCTATGGTTTTATTTTACTCTACAATATTTATTTCTGATAACAGGGTACTTAGAACCAAATAGAAAGGGGGTTTGAAATAAAATAAAAACACCTAAGCACAAATTTTCATGATTTCTCTGAATTTTAAACTGTCCAGGTGACTTAATAGCACTGCAGGAACATTTAATTTGTATTCTTTTACATATAAAGTTGTTGGGCAATAGTGCAATAGCTACTGTTTCTCTCCTCCCCCTTCCACTCCCTAAAGCAGTTATAAAATAGTTATTAAAATGCAGCAGGTAATAATCCAAATATTGTAATATGCCACTATATAGAAACTGCATCAGTAAAGTTTCAGGCCCTCCAAACATTTCTCTAGTTCCCTGGCTTTGATTAACATCATAGTGCCTTTTGAATTCATGCTGTAGTGTAAATTGTCTCCCCTTCTGCGTGCAGATTTTCCCTTCCAGGTTAGTTCATTTCAAATTGGATTACATAGGTAAAAGTGAGAATACACAGAGTGAAGCATTAAGGCCCTCTGGTGAAAAATCAAACAGAAGGAAGTGGGCATAGTTAGCTTTATATTTAACTGTATTCATCCTGTCTGATCTATTTAAACATGCGAGGTTCCTTACAGAAGACCTGTCTTTCTAGCATGTAATAGAAATTTGCACAGATATGTCTGATTAGTATATTAAAATCTTGATCTTAACTGTTTCTTACTTTTTTAAAACAGTTAAATATTCAGCTAAGGGTCAGGGAAAAAAATAAACATGTCATCAATCCTTCTGTATATTCTTTTGATGTCTTAGAAGGTAATTCACTTGATTTTTTGAGGCAGCTTCTGTACTGCATGTGGAGACAGATTATGTACAAACTGCAGTTAGTTTTGGCATACAAAATACTTGAGCAAGCAAAGATTCCTGGAATTAGAAAAAAAAATTTCCAGTAAAACAAAGATTGAACTCTCAAAAGTTCAGGTTCTACCTAACTAAACATAACTAATCATCAGAGATTACATATTTACATGTTTAAAATCACACTTCTGTTTTTCACGAGTTTGTAGTACATTTGCTGACACTGCTTTTGCTTTAGCAGACTAAATGTTTTATGGTGTGTGTGTGTGTATATATATTTATATATATATACACAAATGTAAATATCCCCTTTATTAAGCCAGTGTTGTTATGATGTAATTGCTATCTTAAATCCACAATGAAAAGAGAACATGTCAGAATTACAGAAACCTAAAATTGGTGTAGGAGGAGGTGAATTTGGCCTTTTATTTTTATTAGGCATTTTCTGTGTATTTATTATTATAGCTGTTTATTTTCTCCACAAAGACAAGTTAGTATAAGCATTGCTTTTGCTGAATGCTGCTTTCCTGATTGATGTTTGTTCAAGGAAAACCAAGCATACTGTTCTTTCATAGTATGAAAGAGAAGGAGAAAGTAAACAAGAAGAAGGAGATAGGAATGTCACCATAAAATACCAAAATAGAAAAAAAGATGAAGTTTGAGGTCACTGTGTTGGGAAACAGGAGAAAGCAGAACAAGAACATGTGCTGACTCTTGGTACGTGTAGTATTGATGCATCTTTTAAAAATAATGCTTAGCATTTAACAATTTGAAAGAAAATAAGATGTCAATGTGGTTACTATTATTAACATAAATACCTAGGTTTCAATAAAAGATGTCAGTAAGTTGTGGGGAATTAAATAACTAATTCACGTGGACATGCCTTACTGGAGAACCAGTAAATTTCTATGGCACTCTATGCAGCATAATCAGGTAGGAACATGCTATAGAAACAGACTAATGTTTATTTGGATGTACTGAAGAGATTAAAGTGTAATCTCTACAGTTTATACTTCACTAGTAGCACAAATTATACTTAACAAATTATACTTGAGATGAAGATATAATCCCCAAGAGGGGGGGGGAGTATTATTTCATTTGGAATTCTCATAAAGCTATCCCTCAAAATCACTTTTTGCGGCAATTTTGTTATCCCTTGCTCTAGTGAAAACGAAAGGCAGAACGGCGAAACAAGCACTGAAACTAAGACTTGGTAAACTACTTTTGGCTTTGCTTTCAGGGTTAGGGACTCAGTTACAATCTGATAGAACTGCAGATGAGGTGCAAGTAATTTCAAACAAGTAAATCAATTCTTCAAGAAGTTCTAAGAATAAATTAATTTCTGCTTCAGAGAAGAATAAAGAGTTCCCACGTCCAATTGACTTTAATATTGGTAACTGAATTTGAGATGCTCTGGCTTCATGCCCACTGAGTTCAACAAAAGGCAGTTTGGATCCATAACATTCTGACTCAGGCACAAAATGATTTTGATGGCTTTAAAGAATATACATATATAGGAATATACAGGAGTACAGCTCATAAAATATAATTGGGCTCATTCAATTCAATGCACCTTTTGTTATTCACTTAAAAAAGGCTGGAAGGGTTCATGTTATATCCAGAATGTATTTTCAGTTCAGTTAATGTATGGTTTGGTGGGATGTAAAGAGAATACATGAAGAATAATATTAATGAAGTATCTCCATTAAGCTGGGAGTTTTCCTACAAGTAAGTTGCTAAAGATTTTACTCAAAGTTCATGAAAAGAATAAAGAGTGAAGAAACAAGCTTAATTCCTTGAATATGTTTAAAAAAAAAAAAAAAAAAAAAAACCAACCCAAAAACCAAAAAACCCTAAATAAACCCACAAAACTCTGGGATAACAGAATTTTAACTCATTCTCTCAGATACAGAAATTAGAACCTACCCTTCTGCTTATGGAAGCACCATACACCAACAGTAGGACAAAATGCATTCTAGAAATGATAGGATTATGCTTCAATACAAACTAATTTGCAGATAATAAACACACTTAGCATGTTATGGCCATATCCTTGTCTCTGTGTAACTGCCGCTTTCCTGGCTGTTGTGACCTTAATTCTTGAAATCAAGTTTATGTTTCAGAGATGTACCCACAGGCAAAGAGTAGAAAACATACCAGAGAGATTAGGATTAAAAACATCGAAAGATTTGAAATCCTTCATAGCTCTGTTACTACATGTAACTTACATGAATAACTACACTAAAATAGCTTATTTCTTCATACATCTTCTACAGCTTACTCCATCATTTCGAATTAACACTGAAATAGGAGATAGATGAGACACTTCCATGCCTGAGACCAAAAGAAAGTGTTCATCATTAGCATATTTCTGGACAGTTCCTCCATTAATACTTAAAGGGACAAAAAATTTTTTTCAAGAAGAAAAGGGAAAGAGATAACTGTGAACATAGGAAAATTATGGAAGACCTAGATTACTACTCCAGTGAAAAACGTGTAGCAACTTGGAAAGGAACATAAAATTATCAATTCTGACTGAAGGATGAAACTTATGCAAACAGAAAAAAAAAAAAACCCGCACCCTTTTTAGAACATTTTAAGAAGTGTGAAAACTACAAATGCTAGAACTGTGAAAAGGAAACTGGGAATTTGATCCATATGTTCTGGAAATGCCACTGCCCACTACTGAATTATTTTTGGAGAACAGAACAGAGAACAGAAGAACAACCAAAAAGCTGTTATAAACACAGGGTCTCCCTGGTGATGCAAAATTTTTACCATGGCAGATATTAATGAGTGACTCTTACCATCTGGATAGGATATATGAAGAAATTATCTTAGATATGTTCTAGAATAATTACCAAGGAATATGGTATTATTTGCCAATTAGATTTCTAATTGTCCGAGGATAAATAATTCAACTAGCTTCAAGGGGAAAAAAAGCAACGCTATTCAGACTGGTTCACACATCAATTTTCTTCATATGGGTGAATATAGTTTAAAAGATGGATTGGATTTAGTCTAAACGATTCTACTCTCTTACAGAAAATCATATTTTAAGCTCTTTATCACGGTATGTTTTTCCAAACTGAAATATTTTTAAAGCATGAAACATAAGAAACAGCAATAAGACCTTTGTATAGCTTCATCCACTGCTTCTCACAACCTAAACAGCACTAATTTACCCAAATCATACTGATTACAAGTGAAATAAATACCAAGCAGCATACTACCATTTACTTCTTCCCAGAAACGTGTAACTGGGAGGAACCAACATAATATGTTCAGCTGGAGAAACAATCAAGCCTTTTATTTCTATGCTATATGTTTAGCAAACAGAAACTTCATACCAGTTGACACCTTCTACCTGAAGGCTGACCGTGATGCTGGGCATGTACTTCTCTGACAGCTGGATAGCCTTTAGTTCTCTCATTTGGTTTATTCCAGACAGTTAGTAACCATAGGTACTAACATTATTTAATGAACTAGTGTTCATGCTAATAGCTCTTGCCATACAAAGCAATATAGACCAACATAGAGAGCAACAGATATAAAGGAAGTATTATATGCATTTTCTTCACTATAACAGTAAAGTCTCCCTGAAAAGTTAAGATACATTAAAAAAAACCTGAATGGTGGCAACTGTATACCATCTGTCTTGTTCTGGTTTAGAAAGGAATTGCATCAGTCCATGATGTTCCTTATAACACTTCTCCCTCGTCACTAAGAAAAATCTAGTAGCAAAGTTCTCAATACCACACTGAAATATTGAAAAAAATGAGATTATTAGACATGATGTAAAAATATATATTAATAACACTTCTAGTTTGATACTCATTTTTCCTAGAAATGTCTTTCCTAAGCAATGTATCCATTCTAAAAGAAGTAATTCTTTGCATATATAATGTAATCATCAAACTTGAACTGAACCTAAGTGCAGTTTTTATTTTTCGTGTCTTTATTCATTCTTTTCTACATAGTATTTGTGGAATTCAACATCTGGAACGAGCAGGAAACAAGTTGACTCTCTTTGACTCCCTTTATTTCTGCATAGTGACATTTTCCACGGTGGGCTTTGGGGATGTTACACCCAAGATATGGCCTTCAAAGCTGCTTGTTGTCATTATGATCTGTGTTGCTCTTGTGGTGTTGCCCATACAGGTAAAATGGATATATTTTTTTAATTTTCTCTATAGAATTGTTTTTAAAACAAAACAATAACCCCTCCAAAACATCCTTTTGCAATGCATATAAAATATCAGAAATAATAACCATCTTCTGTAACCTCTAATCTTTTCCTAAAATTTTCCTGTTTATCTTTGTTTAGTTTAAATGTACAATAAAAATATAATACAAATTTATAATAAAATATTTAACACTGAAGCCAGCTTTCAATCGCTGGTGAAAGATTTCTGTTTCTGTCACGTATCACAGAGCCCTTCTCTTTATCCTAGGTAATTTTAAAAATGCAGAAAACAACAAAACAAAAACAAAAAACAAATCAACCACAATAAAAAAATGAACACCCTGCACTTTATGAGTACAGCATTTCCTCTGCAGGCTTTCCCTGTTTCTAATCTTGATTCTCTCCACTTCCTCTCATGTTCTTACAGTTCAGTGCAAACTTAAAAAAAGAACTCATTAAATCTGCAACTCAAGCAAATTGTCTTCACATCTGTGTGTGTTGGCACACACTGATCCAAGTGCACATTTAGGAATTTTTGGTGCCTATATGAGCTTAGGTTGATTTATGAAAATCCAAGTATTTCATGTAATCAATCAGTTTCCATAAATTTGTACTAGACATTTGTCAGCTCATTAGCAAAGACTTGATGACTGACACTCTCTGACTACAGGGCAGCCGTGCCACAACACTAAATATCTTGTTCTTGGTGATGATCCAAAACTCATGGCCACAAAAAGGAAGTGTGGGGAGACATCATGCATGCTTACTGAATCTTACAGCAGACCCAGATGCTAGGCCTTAAAGCTCCCAAATTTCTCATACAGCTTTGATTTCCGCATTCTACTTCTTTGATTGTGAACTAAGCCTCAACTCTGAGCAGACAATACAGAAACCCTGTGAGACTTGAAGCTCAAGCTGTCAGCACTAATTTCCTTGAAATTACCTGAACATTTAAATTATAGCCAAATATTTAATGCCTGCATATGCAAACATATGCACTAATATAATTGTATTCCCACTCAATGACAGTCTAATAAAATATATGATCTGCTTGAAACTAAAATATAATTTAAGAAATTTGGAATTTTCACAGAAATACAAATTTCATTTTTCAAGTACTTCTAATATACAGTTAAAGACCAAATCTATGCATTACCTGTAAATAATCTGGAATCTATTGCTCTTTCACATCAATCTAAGTATTATTCACTATTTTATTTCCACATTTTTGTAGCGATGAAGAGGCTTTATAGTTTTCTACACGCAGAATGAGGGAGACATTATCTAGAATCACAAAAGCGTAGAATATCCTGAGTTGGAAAGTCTCAAAAGGATCACCAAGTCCAACACCTGGCTCCAGACAGGACCACCCAACATCCAAACCCTATGTCTAACAGTGCTGTCCAAATGCTCTGTGAGCTCCAGCACCTGGGGGCTATGATCAGTGCCCTGGGCAACTTGCTGTCTGCTGTCCATGCCTGCTGTCCTCTAGGGCAGAATCTTCCCCTAATCCTCACCTGTCTCTCCTTATGACACTGCTCCATGCTGTTCCCTCAGGCACTGTCGCTGTTATCAGAGAGCAGAGCTCCCCACCAAGGATTAGCCTGATCTAACCCCATTTACTATAAACTCTTGAGCTTTGTCTTTCTACTGTATTAAGTGAATTATTATTCACAATAAAAATTGCGAGAAAAAGCTGTTACCACAATAGACATATAGTTAAATTGATCTCAGGATTAAATGCATATTACAAAACACTTTGGTACTTATGAATTATATTAAGGCACGGATTATTACAGTACTGTCTTTAGTTTAAAAGATTCTGATTAGTGGAGCAATATTTTATATTCATAATAATTCTGTCATACTTCCTAGCTTACACACTAGGCTTCCCTTTCATTAGAGTAAAAAACAGATTTTACTGTCAGACTGCTTACATCATTCAGATGGCAAATGGAAAAATGCAAAATTAACAGCTGCCATGAATGCAAGTGGTATATATATGTATAAGTCATATTAGTGAGTACACAGATTGGACGGTAGCACACAGATACAATCACCTTCAGAGTACTATAAAAGTTTCTGAAGACGGTCATTGCCCAAAGTAAAATAGTGCTTCTAATTATTTATACTCATATTGACCTAAGCATTTAAAAACTTAACTTTTCGTTTGAGGGCAGCATTTAGATCACAGGGCACTGGAAAAACAGCTCAGAGATGTGAAATATGTGAACAAGACAGCAAACAACATAGTCATCACTTTTTTCTAAAATTTTAGGGCTGGGTGTAATCACATGATATTTTAATGAAGTTATTCAGCTATTTGCAATAGAGACTGGCCATACTTCCACATTTTTCTGTAAACCTACTATCAATCTAACCCATACTCCAAGAACTTTTTGCAAAGAAAAATACATTTGGCGCTAACAGCATCACTCAATAAAAGCATGATCTGAACAATGCACTGTATGTAAGTGGTACACTTTTACTGCACAGCTGTTTGACTGTATTTAACCGACACATATCTATTACAGTTTGAACAGCTGGCGTATTTGTGGATGGAGAGACAGAAGTCCGGAGGCAACTACAGTCGACACAGAGCTCAGACGGAAAAACACATTGTGCTGTGTGTCAGCTCTCTGAAGATTGATCTACTTATGGATTTTTTAAATGAATTCTATGCTCACCCTAGGCTGCAGGTATTTGTAGAGAAAGAAAAAAGAATCTCATAACACTGATTTTTGGAGTGTTCTGGAGTCACTTTTGAATTGTAAAGCTGAATTTAAAAATAGTTGGCTAAACTGAGAATCTAGAATTGCAATAAGAAGTTGAGTTGTTGAGAAATGGAGTATGGAGACATTTGTTTTGAATTGAGGTAAAAGGGACTGAATTATTGTCTTGTTGAATTATGCTAGTCCTTTTAGAAACAGACATTCCCATGCAGCTTCCTTTTCTTCTTTTTTTCCTATTCAAAGAAGGAAAGAAATGGAAACTTCAATTTTTTTTTTTTTTTTAAGATACTTTTGGAGAAGGAAAAAATAGAAGCAAAGACCTTCTAAGGTGGTTACAAAGTCTTTCTCATTGTACACATTCAATAGTTAATGCAGATGTCACATAACTTGTTCCAATCATATAAAAGATTATTTATATGAGGTAGCAATTTGGATTCATCATCATTAGCTTTTCTATAAACCATTTATTTTAAAAAATCTTCTCTGCCAATATCTTTTACCATTACCTATGGCACCACACTTAATTATGCAATGCAAAAACCCCACAAAATGTCTGAGCAGCAGCATGACAAATACCAAATGCAAAATATTCTCCAAATTAATCAGATAGTAAGAATTCTAAGCAAACGTACAGACAAATCTAGTATTTCACAGATTTATAATTGGTCAGTCTTTGTGATACAGACGAAGCAAGAGAAGTCCTAATACTACTTATGTAGCATGAAGGAAATTATATACATTCCCTTCACAACTGAAGTGGGAAGCTGGAGGATACAGATGATGCTGGAAGTAAGCTTCCAGCAGAGGACTGTGTGTGATAAGGAAGACTTCATATCGAGAGTCCTAATCTTGTCTCTCCTTCTCATACACACACGCATATACGTGTCAGGGTGACCTTATTTCTAATAGAGATTGTCTGTACAGGTATTAAAAATTGGATCTGCCCATTAATGCAGAGGAAAGATTTCAAGGAGTAATAGAGATGGTGAAAATAACTGTTTTAATTGTGGAAAGCTTCCTATATTTTCCAGCTGTAATGACAGAAAAGTGAACTGTGTTTAAAAAATTTATGCTTTCATAGAAACAAAAAAGTAATAGGATTATTCTATTGGTCATCTTAACCTCTTGCATGAGTATTCCTGCCATTTTCATTTAGGAATGACTCCATATTTTAAACATTTGTATTCAAATTACTTTTGTCAATGAAATTTGAGAACTATCACAGAAGTTTAATATATCCTTGGTCTGTTGATTCATCTCCTGGCAACAACAAATGGTATCATCAAATAATAACATGATTATTCCTCATTATGTTTTTGGCAGGACTATTATGTTGTTATTTTGTGTCCTACTGAAATGGATGCTCAGGTCCGGAGAGTGTTACAAATCCCGATGTGGTCTCAAAGAGTTATCTATCTTCAAGGCTCAGCACTAAAAGATCAAGACCTGTTGAGAGCAAAGTAGGCAAATATAGCTAACGCTTATTTACTACCTTGTTTCACATATCCTCTTTGATAAAGAAGTTTGACAAACAACAAAAGCTAGAAGGAAAGTATGTTTATTTAGAATACAGGGATCTTAGTTATATTTGTTTTTTTCCTTAAGTCTGAAATTTTTCAAGGAACATATCTGTAAGTTCTTCATTTGACCAATCTTTGAATCACTATTTTTTTATTTTATTTTTTTTAAGGTGTTGAAACAGAGTGCCTATAATTTCTTTAGCAAAAGCTGTGTTGAAAATTCTGAAACTGCCAATAATGCTAGAATTTTTGTTATTTGTGCATAGATAGTAAGCCAACTGAAGGGGAGAAAAAGTGAACAAAAGTAATTATCACCCTTTGAATGCTTTGTACAGTCTTGTTTTCTTAATAAGTTCAGCCTGGTAACATAAGCAGTGACTCTACTTTACCTCTATGTACTCTTCCCTCAGGATCTTGCTCTTAGCACACATTTTCTACCACTTCTAAAAAAAACCTCTTTGCCAGTTAATATTGAATGACAGTAATCAAAACATATCAGTCAAACCAGTCAAACAGAGTTTCTAAAAAAAAAAAACACCAAAAAAACCCCACAAAGACTACCAAAACCAACCACCATTGCTCAATCACTTAAAGGTGGGAAAGAATTCACAGTGGAATTTGTGTAGGAGGGTAGTCTCTTCAGACTCCAAAGAGAAAGGTGATTCTTTTCAAATAACTGTTTTAATTTATCTGCACTGCTTTTTATAAGAATGTAACTGTCTTCACTTAAATTAATCAACTAATATAGATATCTAAAATCAAGCCAATACGTCAGTACTTGTGTCATTCAGCCTTCTAAAGAATTATTCTGAAGAATCTCATCTGTGAGAAGTCTAGCAAGCAGTGCTATCTTCAAATTTCTGCTACTGAACAAAATAGCTACCTTTTCATAACTACCTTACTTGAAAATGCAGAAAATCTTTGTTCAGGATTATGAACTTCTTTCAAAAAGCGGTTCCTTTTTTTTCTTTTTTTCACTTTGTTGCTCATTTTCAAGGACAAATTCATAGGGGAATTTGGCTAACGTTTGTTCTACACATTAAGAAAAATTAGACTGTTCCCTACAGATAATAATGAATTTCACTTATAATAACCTGGAGGTACTCAATGAAGTATCTGTTTCCTGCAGAACATGTAATTGAATGTACCTGTCACAGAATAATTTTCCACCTCTCCTGAGGGAAAAAGCACAGTGGGAACTTAATAGGATGTTTAATTTGATCTGTAAACCAGTAACCAGTACCTGAGATGTTTGCTATATTCTTTTCAATGAGAATATAGTGTACTGAGAAGATAGCAATATGCACGGTAAACAATTTCTAACAAATAAAATCATAGAATGGTTTGTGTTAGAAAGGACCTTGAAGATCATCTAGTCCCAACCCCATGCTATAGGCAGCGATGCCTCCCACCAGACCATGTCGCTCACAGCCCCAACCAGCTTGGCCTTGGATGCCTCCACAACCTCCTTGGGCAATCCTCACAGTAAAGAATTTTTTCCCAATATCTATTCTAAATCTACCTTCTTCCAGATCAACGCCATTTCCCCTCATTCTGTTGCTACCCGCCCTTAGAAAAAAGTCTCTCACTAAACAAAGTAATGTTTAACACCACAAAAATAATAACAATAAAAAAAAAATCAAGAAGTGTCTTTTTATTTATCAAAATTTATACATATATTATAGATGAATTGCAATGCCAAAATATCATGATAAAGGTCACACTACAAAAGGAAGGAAGGGAATAGCAAAAATTGATGTACTGCATATTTAGTAAATAGTTAACTGAGAGTTGTATTTTCCTATGTGCTAGTACACCATCTGACTACAAAAATGATACTCATTCTTGCTTCCTACCTTTGAAAGTTTCACTTTGCAATTTTTGGTTGTTCTCTGGGAAAACAAGAAAAAACAGTCTGTCATGGTTTAACAACACTGCTACATCTATTGGGCATCAGTACAATTAGAACTTTTTTATCTACACAGTAACTGACAAAAAACCCTTGTTCTTCAGGAAGACTACTGCTAGAAAGTAACTTTATATTTCCTTGCTCTACAGCTTTCTCCCGTGCTGTTAAAAACAGTTTTTCTCTTCTTAAAGTTTTCTACTTCAGTGAACCCAGCACACATCTTAATTCTCTTCTTATCCACTCTTCCTTTACTTTATGCTTCTTTTTTATTATTGTTTTCATGAATTTATTTCAATATTTCAGTGTATCAAGTTGCTTCAAATTCTTTCATTCTCAAGCAGTAGAACAATATTATTTTTCAGATTTAATGGCATAACAATTTACAAAGCTTTTCTTGTTATTAGAAAATTAATAGAATTGTCAGAATATTCTGGGTTCTAATATAGCATAGATATTATAAGTGTTTCAGTTGTCTAAATTCATGGTATCTATTGAATGTTAGTATCAGAGGAATTATCCTTGCCAACTGTGGCTGAAGTGATTCAAGAAGCTTCTAAAAAGCACTGGAGAAAAAGGTGAATATGATCAATGAGATTTCATTTCCTCAAAAAATCATCTGTATATTGACCCTACTTATCATCTCTTCAAATGCTGCTCCATCACTAATGTCACTGAATTTTCCTTCCTAATTTTTTTTTTTAAAGACCTTACCACTTCTGCTCTCATGCTTATCTGAAACTACTCATATAGAATTGCCCATTCTTCTCTGTGTAAGTTGCACTTGATGTTACTATTTTAGAAATACACAGTTGCTTTTGTCATTTTTTTTTTTTATTTTTTTATTTTATTTATTTTTTTTTTGCATTTCAGGTACTGAGGCTTCTCCTGTTTTTCCTACTGTTTGCTGCCTAGGGGACAATATATAATTATCTTATCCTTCTTTTCCATTTATATTTTCTCCGAATGATCACACACGAAACACACAAATTCACTATTTCTATAGTCATAAACCAAAAGGTTATTACTCAATTTATCTGGCTTCTTAATATGGATATCTATTCATCAACTTTAGTTGCAGGTTGTTAAAAATGCATCTTAAGTTTTGCTGCTCAAATAAAACCAGTAAAATATTGTAGATCATCTTGTAGAGCATCCTATGTAGACTAAACTCAAACGTTGCCAGTATTTTCTTACACAAGCTCTTATTTTTATCTCGCTAAAACAATGCTTAGGTCTTTAATGTATATCATCTCAATTCTTTCCAAACACTTTGGAAATATTATTTACATAGTCCTTCACTTCACCTCTTATTGCAGTCCTTCTCTGGCTTACCCTTCTTTCTCATCAAGGAATGACCTTTTATTCTCACTTAGCCTACAACTCCAAGTTCTTAACGAGAGGAAACCTGACAAGCCTATAAAACTGCTCTCTTACACATACAACAGATTAGTATTCAAATCCCCTTGTGACTTCACCTACACTGTACCTTCAAGTTAGAATTCAAGCTATTAATTCACCTTTTTATACTCGGGGCTGATAAAAACTTAATTTGCAAAGTAATTGTGCTTGAGGCCACCTTGCTTTTCTTACTTTGGAACAGCTTCTATTGGAACAAAGGGAAGAAAATTTCCTAGAACCTAGCCAAGAAGTACTGGCATACTGTGATTAAGTACATAGAGGAGTGTTGTTGACGTTAACGTAATGCATGAAAGCAGATAGACTTCTCTGTATTCAGTATCTACAGTCACATAAGACCATAAAATGTGAAACATGAATCAACAGAAGGTCGTGGGGTTTTTTTGTATGTAACAAAGTTTTCTCCCTCATTTTTGTAGAATGGATGATGCTGAAGCTTGTTTCATTCTAAGTAGCCGCTGTGAGGTGGACAGAACAGCAGCTGTAAGTTCTGAAGAAATAACCAAGAATGAATGTTTATACTGATGTTTATACTGATGTTGTACCCTCAGATTTCTAAGAGCACAAGATTAAAGTAAGCTGATTCAAGACACAAATTTTCCATAAATTGAATTAACTTCAAATATTCAGTAAAACTTCAGTAAATACTACTATTTGAATGAGTTAAAACTTTTCCAGTCAGGGAATGTTTGTCGGAATCCTGTCAATTCATAAAAATTGTTTCTAGGAAAACCATCAGTTTCAAAACTCTGAAGAAAGCCTTGGGATTTGCTAGAGATCTCAGACCTTTAAGTGCTTTAAGTTCTATAACAAAGCCTGCCATTAGAGGTCCCTGGAGCTGGAAGCAACAGGATTTTGAGCTTCCATTTATCAGCCTTAGATCCTGATAGCTCATGTCTCAACTCTCAAGTCTGTCAAAAGCATGGGAGCCTAGAAATCTCAGAACGTTAAAATTCAAATAAGTCTTCCAGTCTGTGGTTCCAAAGGAGAATGACATAAGTCAAGCATCTGAGCTGTAACAGTGAGACTCCTGGGATCAGTATAATTTGAAGTTTCTCAATAAGATTTCACCTCCATCCCTGTTTTTGTTGCTTAGATTTCCTTTGCACAAGGAATACGGGGCAAGTTTGTTTCTATTTTTTTGTTTGTTTGTTTGTTTGTTTTCCTTTACTGCCTCCTAAACCTCTGAAAGGAAATAGAATTTCCTATACTGTTCCAGCACTAGGCACTACTAAGGACTTCAACAATACACACAAGGCTACAGCTTGTCACTGAACTGACAGTTTCCATCTTTGTCCAGGTCAGTGTTAGTCTACAACAGTCTATAGCTGATTTTTTAATCCTGCTGAGCTTGAGAAATGCATTGGATCCTCTCCTACTTGTGACAGCTGTCAAAAATTAACAGATGTGTTGAGGACATCTCTTACCAGAACAGCTGTTGTTAGTAGCGATTTTTCAAAGGCAGAGAAGGTTTTTATCTCTCCATCTATAGTACTCAGCAGAGGATCTACTCATTTGTCATAGGTGCTACCAGCAGTTTTGATAGATGCTTGTTACTTGCTATTCTGTTAATTAAATTCTGTTGCCTAAATTTGTGTTGCTTTTGATCACGGGTATCAACAATAGTTCAGAAATTCAATAACAGGTGTCAGACAGTTAATTCATAAATATTGCTTCCTTTTTCACTTAGAGAAGTAGGGACTTGTGTAGTCAGACCAAGAATTTTTCAGCTTTCCAAAATCTCCTACCAGAAATTCTCTCTTCTCTGGCAAGACAAAGCTTTGCCAAATTTTACAATATCAAATGCAATTTTGACACTCAGACCAAGAAGTAAGCTGCTTTTCTGCTATGTAACACAAGACAGACATCTGTTTCACTAGTAGGATTCAACTATGCGATTCCTAAAGGGAATTCAAATTGCACTTATGTATAGATGACAATTTGTTGTGTTTTTTTTTTTTTGTTGTTGTTGTTGTTTTGTTTTTGTTTTTGTTTTTTATTGATGGGTTTAGAGATGTAGTCCTTGCCAGACTGTGAAATTAGTCAGCACATTTAGTGGGCTGCCTGTATTTGGTCCATAAAACAATTTCCTGAAACACTGCATCTACTGGTCTAATCTAGTGAGTGATGGGAACTTCCTTTGAACTATTCTATAGATAACTTCTTAGTAGGCACTATAAATATATGAAAGATGACTTCTGCCAAAATCCTGCTTCTGACCCTTTCAGAAAATTCAGATATGGTTGAGTTGAAGCTTAAACTTTTTTCCTTCCTTTAATCAAATTGCGTGAGATAATTATACTGTTAATCCAAGTCACAGTGACTTTCAAGTGTCAACACATTAAAATAGGAAAACAAATTTATTTAAAGTCTTGATTTGAGTTCTGAAAATGTAAATTCCTGCTACACTTACTTTAAAATTTGCAGTTTTTGCTACATTAACTGAAATATCACCTCTATATTTACCATCATCAGTATATCTGGTGATTTTTGATCACTGACCGCAGGCCATTGTGTGACCTGCAAACACACATGGAAGAGAATATATTTTTTCCTTCAACTCCCAAAGAAGCCTATACTTTGTAACGAGGATAGAAGCGTAATTTTGCATTAGCTGCTTCTAGTTACAATACATACATATTTAATGCCTTTTTATGTGCTAAAAATGTCAAAATTTTTCGTCACCACAAACTAGTATATAAGTTACTAGAAATGTAAAAAGGAGAGCCACAAATACTGCACAAATAGATTGAATCTAAGCACTTAAAATTCCTACCTGTATTTTCATTTCTATCCCTGGACTGCTTCTGTGATGTGAAAGTAACTGGGGAAAAATTCTAATTTTGTGAGAATCCTAAATAACCAGCTTTTGTACACAAACATATGCTTATGACAACGGAAATATTAAGAGCACATGCATACCGAGATGATCTCCTGAAACTGTATAAAGCATTTAAGTACCTACTTTATATATGTTACGCATTTGTAAATTGCTTCAAAAAATAGCAAATGGAGAACAATATATATTTAGCAGTTTTGAAACTGTGAATGTGCCAAATGATTGCGAGTTTCTAAGTATCTTTCCCATTCTTTTATAATTATCTAAAAATATTTTATTTTGAAATCAATCAACACCTACTTCTATAGGTCTAGGTTCAGTAATTTTTTTCTTTCTAATGACATTTGCATTTTAAAAATTGTAGTAAGCTTTATTAATTCTCAACTTCAGAAATTCTTTCACCTCCCAAAAAATAGTAATGCCTTATAGAGAAAATATTTCTAAAAAAATTTCAGAGAATATATGAATAACAATGAGAAGAACAGAGGACGAGTAAACAGGGCTTGAAGCATACAATTAAATGTATTTGGTGGTGCAGCTTTGGTTTATCACAGTAAGTTTAATTTTAGCTCCTTATATAATCCTTAAGAATAAAAACAGTCACCTAAATTTTATTAAATCTAAGCTACATTTCTATTCATGTAGTACACCGGAAATAACTCTTTCTTACCATTTTACAGACCAGTGTGTTTTTTGCATGACTACTATCAGAAATGCAGTGGGGAATTTAGTAACCTCAAACTCTGCAATGAGGCTCCATTATCACTGCAGATGACTATGTTTTCTTGGCACCTTTTGTATAAAATAACAGATAACCTATCTGCAATATTACAGACATTCAAATCTGTTCCAAATCCACCTCAAAACAACTGGCTTCTGTAGTGTATCTCTGTGACCTCCTCCTGTCCCATTACCTAGCCATTTGCTACTGCTGAGGTATGCTGGCATTTCAATCCCTTGAAACTAGACAGGAAAAAAAAAAATCCAAATGCAAAGGACCTCCGAAAACAAAACCAACACAATCACTCCCCCTCATAAGAAATCATACATGACAGACAAAGAGAAGAAAACGTGACTTTATACAAGCAAAGTTTAGAGCATGGTACAGCTGAGTTCTGAAATTTCCTGAATCAATGCAGTAATCCTACATCTTTCATAAAAAGTTAATTTAAAACTCATGAACTAATGCATTTCACCATCCTCAAAAGGTCTTCCTGTTATGATTTCATTCTAGTATTTCTAGTGCAAAAACTACTCGCTACCATCTCAAGTGACATTAAAACATCATGGTTTGAAAATGTCAATTAAGTAACAGGCAAAGATTTTCCCTTGAGTTCATGAGTCTGGAAGCCTTTCTTATGGCAAATGCTGCAAACATAATGAATCATTCTTTACATATTATCTATTCATAGCACCAATTTCATGACTAGGCAAGACATTTCAACTCAAACATTGTTTCCTAAGTGCAGTTCTTAATTACTCCTTTTTAGTACTGAAATAAATAAAAATTGATCACTAATACATTGAAATTAGCCATACCTCATTAAATTCATTATATGAATTAGTGGATATATTACTGTATACTTTCATGGAGTAGGAATATTATTCCTACCATTAACTCACTCTTGACAGTAACGGGTAGAAAAGCCAACAGGCTGAAAAATCTTTTATACTCCTATGATCAGTAGCTGACTAAATGTGTGTGCATATTTACATGTGTGTCATATATAAATAATATTACATGTTATATGGAAGGGGTACATAAATATCCATACCAGATGGTGTTGTATGGTTTTTGAAATGAATTTCCTGCAATACAGACTTGTAAAGCATTATTTTTCTAATGTATCATCGTGATTACACGTGTTTTATTGTTATAATTTCTTACTTTTTATTTTAGGATCATCAAACCATTTTAAGAGCATGGGCTGTTAAAGACTTTGCCCCGAACTGCCCTTTGTATGTCCAAATACTGAAACCTGAGAATAAATTCCACATCAAGTTTGCAGGTAAGTGTGAGAATTCAGCCATTTGAATCGCTTGTTTGTATTTGGCAGCTTGTTTCATGAATGCATAATCAAAGGGAGATTCCCTAAGTGTATTTACTAGTTAGAAGCTCATTAAAAGCTTAACATTTTCAAGTACTATGGGATAATATATCCTCTCAATAGTAAAATAACATTTCTGTATCAGGCTCTTATAAATAAGCATTTGAAGGATACTCATTTCATATAGCACAGTGTTACTTGATATATCATACATTGTTACTTCTCAATTATAAATTCGGGTAAGTTTTATCCATGTCTTTAAATCATTTCTGACTTTTATAGCATACTGTTACCAAGGGATATATGAAAAGACCTACTTAGAAAAGGTCAAAATTCATTCGAGAAAAAAAAATCTTTACACTGGGATGCTTTTCTCTAGCTCATATGAAAAAGTATTTTTTTTTTTCTTTCAAATATTTTGGAAAGAGAAATGTAATTTAGTTCTGTATCCAGTGAAATTCATATATTGGAAAATAAAAAATGCAAAATGATGTAAGAAATCCAGATAAAACCTCTCTCATAAGAATTGATTACTAGCTCTAAATTCAGAAACTTTCTCAGCACTGTGTAGGTGGAAATCTATGTCTCTCTGTCACATACACGTATATCCACACACACACATATACTTATGTGCAAAATATATGAATACTCTTTACAACAACAATTCATTTTACTTCTCTCTGGAAAAGTAGCACCATGAAGCAGGAGAAAAGCTTTCCTTTTCAACTGTAATTTTGAAAATTCAGTTTTCTTGAAGGATACTCTAAGCAAGAAGGGACTGCTGATTCATACAAAATTCAAAAAAACTAAATGGACAAATATTAGTCTCCTTCATCATCCCAAGAACGTGATGAAGAAGTAAATTTCAGTACAGAACGAATCCAGAGAAACAGCTAAAGGCTGAAATTTTAAAAGCTACCGCATTTGCCAGAAGGTTGGAAAAAGAGGAAAAAGCATAAATAGCAGTCTGAAAGTTATGAAAGTATAATCTTAAACTATGAGATAGCGCAGCAGGGAATAAAAGTCATGCTGTGACTGGAATGATGATGCTTTTTCATCTCCCCTTTAGAACCACGTAGCACAAACAATCTCTTCCCTCTACTCTCTCTACTCATGGCCACTTCTCTTTATTAGTAACTGTTAATTTATTGCTACTAGTTGTATTTTTAAGAGTTTCATTATTCTGAATCCCTGAATGTCTCTGTAGGGGCAGTGTATACTGTGTATACAATGCTCTGAAATCAATGCTTCCTATTTTGTGATGTTGGCCACAATGTCAGAGGTTGATGTTGGTGGTAGGCAGTAGAGGTTGAACCTTCTTGTCAATATTCCGTAATATTTTGTTGCCAGGTGATAGATGACAGCAGAGGGGCAGTCTGACAGAACTGTGTCCAAAGTGAAAGTTCTTATGAAGCAAAGGTGTGTCACTAAATTCCTCCATATCAACAAACAAACCGACCAAAAAAGCACCCATTGGCATTTACTGACATTTGCTGAACATTTCCAGAGACCAAACAGTGGATGTGAGTACAGAGAGGCAGCAGGTGGTGCATTTCACTAAAGGCAGCAGTAACAGTGGGTCATCTTCTCTAGTGTGCGTTCTCATGGGCGTAGCATGCAGGCACTTGTTCACCACTGTTGGAAATGCACAGTTAATGATTGAAAAAGTGTTTTGTAGCTGAGAATTTGCTCTATCAAATTGATTTATTGTGTTCTTTGTATCTGTTATCATTTCTACAGAAATAAACAGGAAGCATTACTTTCAGAGTGACCTACGTGTAACTAGATCTCCAAAACAGAGGGTTTTTCCCCCTCGTGTGTCTTAAGTCACACTAAGTTTGTCCTAAGAACAAAGCAAAATGAGCAAATTGGAAACAACCCAAAACCAAAACATTTTAATATTTCCCTCCTTCCAGCTTAATCAATCTTTTATCTCACTGTCTTCATTTATATTCCTTACTTCTTGAAGGTCTTGAGAAAACCTTATGTATTCTCCACCACATTATCCTCCTCTAATATTGATTGTCAAATTATTGAATTGTAGGGCTGAATATTTATAGAGCACCTTACTTCTCCAAATTATTTTGAATGGATCACTGCATCCATTTCCACACATGCTTGTTGCAAATAGCATTATTTATTTATGTCTTACAGTTTCACCATGCAACAGTTTATAGCAGAGAATTACAAGCATTTCTACAAGATTTAATTTATCTTACTGATTACACCAGAAATTTTTAATGCAGTTTTAAATTTGGTCAGGTTACCAGCACAGCATAAACATCATCATTAGATGCTGACCTATCACAAATATTTGCCCACTAATGCTTACAATCATTAGAATAATGTTTGCAGACTTTTTCCTAGGACGACTTCACTGTGATTGCTAATTTTGTTCAATTCTGCTTTGATCTGATATATATGCCCAGTGGAGGCTACAAACTATACTCCTGTCCAGGGTCTTTACAAATAAAATTTGTTGTAACTATATGCAACAATTTTTTAAGTGCTTTTCCTATTATGATTTGGAACTGTTTTATTACCGCCTTAATGCAAAAGGCTTCTTTTGAATTTGATATTCCTTTAAAAATGACTCCTTTCTTCTAGAGGTTTCCCAAACCAATACTGTGCATTTTTATGAACATAAAATACTCAGTATTTCTTCTTCCTTTACTTTTCCATTTTTTATTGTGTGTTTTTGCATACAAGTTTAGAGGCAACAATTCTCAAAAAAAGTCACTGAACTTAAGAAAAAAACCCACAGATTTCAGAAAAGTTCTCCTGACACATTTTATTTTTAACTAAATTGAAAATTTCTAAAACACTACAGCATCTCAGCATCATACTTTAGCCACTAAACCTACACAGCATAAGATAGTACTGAAATTTAGATCTTAAGTTAATTCTCCTGAAGAAAGTCTGCAGGATGCTGTTCTGTCTTAAGCTTTAGAAACAGTATAAACGACAAGTCATTGTTAATTTCTGTGTAGTAGGCAATATTTTGTCTTTTTTTTTTCTCCTGTTTAATGAGAGTACAAGAACTTACAATCACAGTGAGGGAATAGAGATACTTTGCACTGAATAATATGGCTTGTCAGAAAAGGAATGTTTTCACTCTGTGTCAGAGACAGACCCTTGCATCTTCTATTTTCCTCTATTTTTTACAGTCAGCAACTCTAACAGTCATTAGATGGGCAAGGAAACACTATCACCATTTATAACAATCTTTTGCCTGGAGTTTAAATGCTGTAATTACTTAGTCATGTCTCTCACTGCATCAAAAGAGGGGTGAGGGAGGCAACTGTTTCCCTCTATTTTGCCTTCATGAGACCCGAGTACTGTGTTGAGACCTGGAGCCCCCTATACAAGAAAGATATAGAACTGCTGGAGCAGATCCAGAGGAGGCCACTAAGATGATCAGAGCACTGGAGCACCTATCCTATGAAGAAAGGTTGAGGTTGAGTTGGGCTTGTTTAGTTTGCAGAAGAGAAAGCTCTGGAGAGACCTCACTGCAGCCTTCCAGTACTTTAAGAATGCTTATAAACAAGACTGAGGCAGAATTTTTACACGGGCAAATAGTTTTAGGAAAGGGGAAATGGCTTGAAACTAAATGAGAGGATATTTAAATTAGAGGCTAGAAGGTAACTCTTTACTCAGAGGGTAGTGAGACTCTGGAACAGGTTGCCCAGGAAGTATGTGCCCCATTCCTGGAGGTGTTCAAGGCCAAGTTGGATGGGGCACAAGGCAGCCTGGTCTGGTGGGTGGCAACCAGCCCACAGTAGGGGGGTTAGAACTAGATGATCTTTAACATCCCTTCCAACACAAGCCATTTTTATAATTCTGTGCTTTCCAATATACAAATACCTTCATATAACTCATCTTTCTTTCAGTAATATTCTATTTTACTTCACTTGCAGTTGCCGATGGTTTTATTAGTCCTCCAGCTTTTCCTTTAAACACAGGACTACAAAAGGCTGTGTACCCTTAATATATGCATCTGGCATTTCATTTTAGCACAAACATGAAATAAAGTGAAAGTTATCTACAGTAGAACAGTAAATTTATTCAATTTAGAGACCAGAATAAATTACGTATTTTCTGAGTTTTACTAATAAATTTCATATGCTTGCTAGAAAATAAACATCTCTACCTTGAATGCTCAGAAAACTTATATAATCACAGTTCCAGGAATAGGAACATATTTTGTGATTCTTAATTTACTCAAAATATAGTAATGAATTAGCTCAGATAGGTGAAGTCTGATTTTACATCTTCAGTGGATTATGAGAAGGGAACATACTCCAGATTCGCGGAAATGGATATTGAATACATCTGATGATTAATCTATCCAACCATGGATAAAAAAAAATAGTCTGGAGATAATAGATGGACGTTTTTCTCTATCTAGTATGTTAGTACTCATGTTAACTTATCAAATTAAGAAAAGCCAGGTTTCTCAGAGTAGTTATGTCAGATAGACCTGACACGTTCTTACCACGTGGCTGATGCTATAGACATAAATCAATATTTTGCATATACTTAACCTTCAATATCATTACAGAAGTCTTAACTCACTTCATAGCATTATTACCTCTATTTGTGACAGACTTAACATGTTTTCTACCAAAAAGTATTTTCACAGAAACTACAACTTTGAAAAAAATTAAAAGGCATATTTCTGTAGTATAAATGCAATCCTTCTATTTGGTAAATTGGTTTGACATCCTTAATATTCAATTCAAGATGAACTGCAATTTATTCCTCTGCCATATGGAATGACTGATTTGATGATATTAGTAACCAAAGTCCGAGGACTTGATCAGTTTCCCAGACTACTGGACCATCACCCAGCTTCCTCCCTACTCAGTTTAGAAGAGAAAGCATTAAATATTATACATAACCCTCACCACATGTCAACAATAAGAGTATTGAACATAAATGTAAAGCACAATGACATTATAGACAAGCTATGATCTCTCAAATAATTAGAGAAAAAAGTTCATCTTGACCTAATCTTCATATAACACAAGAACTTAGCTGCAGCCAAAGAGGAGAAACCCATAGTACCACTACTTAAGTTTCAAATTACAACAGAAAAGAAGGAAAAGAACAAAAATAGTATGAAAGATTCATCTTATTAATGTGAAAGTGTAACTTAGGAGGGGAAGGAGAGAGAATCAAACAATTCACATGGTAAGCACCATTTAAAAAAAAAAAAAAAAAAAAAAAAAAGCCAGCACAAATCAATAGGTATACAGAAAGAAGCAGCATTACTGGGAGTTTCAATTTGAAAAACTTGCTATTTCTGTCTTGCACGTCAAGACTTATTATGAAGATAGAAGAAGTTAGTACAAGCTGCATTTTTCTGTGAATTGAAAACATGAATAAGCATCTCTTAAGTTCGGGAACATTCTAACAATAGCAATATATACGTTTCTGGAATAAGACAAGATTAGGTCCAATTACCTTGTATTGGTCCAACCAAGAACAAAACTTGTTCCTAATACAGTGAAGTGTCACAATATGCAATCTTATGCCATAACACTTTGGATTATTATTTTTGAGGCATGCATGCAAGTCAGATAAAAAAGGCAGATGAACCTTAGAAGTTAAATTCAGAATTAAATCAAGTTCCTCCGTTGGGACTTACTGAGCTTAAAGCTGATTCACTATTTATAAATAAGTATTCTACATAGCATTCCCTTTTCTTCCTAAAATGCCGAATAGGAATCAAGAAGGATTGCTCCATTATATAGTCTGGAGATTATGTTTTTATCAGTGAATAAGAACAATACTCCTAATCACGGTAATTAAGAGTGCTAAGAAGCTTTTGTCCACGCTCTCATATTACCTCTAAGAATTTCAAAAGCTTCAAAACACTTCTGAAGTAGGAATTATTTTCATACATTTTTCAGATACACAAATACATGAGTGGCTCACACAAGGTCAAAGTCTACAAGAGAAGTGGAATTTGTCCTATGAGTTCCATGGACATGGTGACCTATGTAAAGATCTTAACACATTGCAAATTCCTTACATGTGTGAGATTAAGGTGGCTAGAGCAGACATCTCTTTACTAGGTGCAATCCTCTGTTTGTGCAATATTATTCATAAAAACCATCCAGAAGGTATAGCCACACATTAGAAAAGATAGAGTATATGAAAGATTTAAGTGAGATATATACTTTTCACACACATTGTGCCATCCATTGTTTACTCCTTTTCATTTGTATATAATCAGGTCAGCAGGTACATTTCTGTTCAAGTACAAGATATGAAATAGAAGATGATGAAATAATTTCTCTGTATATTTTTCTTTGGTCTGTTTTCAAAATTATTAGCTATATTACAACATTTTTCTAAAGAAGAAATGAAAGGAACTTCTTGACAAAATCCTACACAAATTCAAAAATGAATTTCCTGTTCCTTCAATATGAGGAAGTTAATATTCATTTTCAAAGATCTTTGCTACCTTTGTAAAGGTAATGGAATATAGATATTTCATCCAAGTTGTAGACTATGCCTTATCCTCTCAAAATCTTTAGGTTAAATTTCAAATAGATGTATTAGTGGCACATGGTCAACTAAAAAAGCACATTTCTGTCTGAGATCCCTTTTGCAGCAAACAATTGCTATAATTGAAATTTATTTAGGGGAAGAAAAACCTCAATTTGTTCTATATTTGACAGTGTCTTCACAAAACTCAGTCTTTCCCTATGACATTTAAATAGGCCTCGATCTTTAGAAAGATCAAGAATGAATTTCCCCTTTCAGAGGCAGCAGCCATTAGTATTTTCAGGGGCAAATATTAGTCAAATCAACAAAATAAAAGCTACTGAAGTGCAAATATCCCAGAGCTACTGTAAACCAGCATTACATATCTAATTGAGGAGATACTCCTACATTGCAGTACTCTGTGCGTACTATTTTCTGAAAACAGAAATTGCATGGTACAGAACTTACATCTCTGTGCTGTGCTTGATATGTTTATACCAGATCATATTAACTGCCAAAGGTGCAAATTTGTAAACTGAATTATGTTACTAGGCCTACTTGTAACTATCAGTGAAGCAAGATAGTGGAACTTAGATTTACAGGGCCATTGCATCTCTGTCCTGCAGCTGCACCTGAAGTAGGATCTGGATGAAAAATTAACTTCAGTCATGCAACCTGAAAGGCAGCATAGATGGGGTAAATTGTACATAGCTACCCTCCAAGTGAAAGTGAATGCTGAAGATCTGGAGGCAATTTCTCCGTTAACTTCACTATTTTCTTATGCAAATATAGGAATTTATAGTCCTGTTTAATGAAAAGTATTTTTATAAAATGATTCCTATTTTTTTTTTTTTTTCTCTCCACAGATCACGTTGTGTGTGAAGAAGAATTCAAATATGCTATGCTAGCTCTAAACTGTATATGTCCAGCTACCTCTACATTGATCACACTGCTGGTTCATACCTCCAGGGGACAGTAAGTATATATTACCATTAACAAGCAAAAGCACGCTTTGCAGAAGTTACAGCTGAGATTCTGTATAACATGGCTTAACTTGATCGCTGGGCAACTGCTTCAGTTTTAAAAGCAAATTGGTATTTTCAGCTCTTTAAAGACATCAAGATATTTTAATTAAGGTATGATAATTTCAAAAGATTTCCTTCTCATGCTCCAAATATTGAATTTCTTGCATAGTGTTATCAGTTCCACAATAGAAAGTGTTCACTGCCTTTTGTTTTTTTTGCTAACATACAAACTATTATGTGCGATTTGGAGCAAGGACATCAAGAAGCAAGCAAATACACGTACAAGGAGATGGTTTTTAACATAACCACCACATATATGTACGGAAAGGAATAGTGAATTATGGTGTCTCTACAGACTGCATAATCACCCTTAGAACTTCTCTATATTTATTAGAAGAATTCTACCAAATCTATTATTCCTAGTATGCTATTGACATGGAACACTAAGGTATGCTTAAGAAAATGCCATGGGCTGAGAGAAGCATTAACAAGTAAATCTGAGTATATCTGTAAAAGTGGAGTACATGCATACAGACTGTATGTACTGTACATTTGATAGCAGTAGAAATGAATGTTTTTTCAAATAACTAGATGTCCAGTAATATCTTGATATTCATAAGCAGAGTTATTTAACCTTCTGTGTGGCACTTGCAGTATTTTCCTGTGCCAAAGATAGGGAACAGCGAAATATAGCTAGAATTTTTGTTACCAGCAACAACAAATATCAAGGCTTTAGTGCCCCTGTTTGAAGTTGCATTTGAAGTCAATCAGTATGCAATAAAATGTTTCCATGCCTCCTGAAAACCATGGTGACATACAATCTCTTTCTGCCCACTTCTCATTTCATGGCATGCATGAACAGAATACAGAGCCATTTAAGATTATTCCATATTATTTTTGTATGAAAGAAGAATAGCATACCTAGCAGATATCAGAGACTTTTCAATAAGCACAAAAACTGACATTATGCAACGTTTTCTACTATGCCTGAGAACATCAGCATTTCTAATTCAGGCATATTGATAATTTAATATAGATTCCCAGCTCTGGTTCAAGTAACTACAGCAGAATGCAAAAGTACTTATTTTTTTTTCCCACTAAGAATTAATTGATGTAATCAAGGTTGTTGAAGTAACTGAAGCAAATTTGAGTTGTCTTCACAAACATAGAAGTTAAAGAAGATCAAGTATTTCAAATGCATTATCTGTGATACAAAATATGTAATTCCCAGAGCGGTGTTTTCTTCTTTTCCTTTTATTTCTTACAACTTTCACCTGGAAATACTGGAATATGTTTCCAAAGATCTAATTTAACTCTGTTGATTCACAAGCTTAGGAACTTTACTGTAGCGTTGGGAGTGTTTGTTCAAATCTATATCATAGATAAGACTTCATTCAGAAAGTAGTTTGATTGATAATTCAGAACTTCAAAATAAAAAAATTTCTCCCTGCTACTCAAATAAACGAGCAGATGTTCCCACACATAGTGAGCTCTCATAGTGATTAAGCTTTATCAAGGTCCCTTTCCTAGAGTTCTTTCTGATCCAGCTCTCTCCGTCACTTGAAGCATGAAGCAGACAGCTTCTCCCATCTTTTAGATCCACTAGGAGCTGGCATTCACAGCCACCTGTAGCTGTAGTCACTGCTGAGGGAGGTCCTCTAAGCTTTCAGCCACAGCAATGCTCCCAGCTGCCAGATACTAACTTGTCCCTTTTGCAAAGCTTTTTGGAAGAATGATGCTTCCGAAAGCCATCATAAGCGATGCTTATCAGAGAACTACAGAAAGCTTAAACACTGAAAAATCCTACCAGACTCAAATATTAACTCAAAAGTATTAATGCAGCTGTTTGTACTCCTATAAATCAAGTACCAGCTAATTTATGTACAATTACACACTGGGATCTACTTCCTATACTTACTAAGTAGTGTGACACTTAATAACATAAGCTTCATGATTATCAGGAAAGAACTAAGTACATGGAAATTACTGCAAATTGAAAGCAATAAATAGCAGCAGAACACAGAAAAATAATTACTCTGTACTATCCTAATTAGAATGATAAAACAATAAACAGTAAAGAAGAAACATGCATAAATTAAATAAATTAAAGCATATTTACCAGTATAAATCTGTGAGTAGGTTGGGGAAAATGTGCATTTCCCAAGCAATTTTGACCAGACCAACTTTATATTAAGACTAAGAAGTTTGCTGCTGCTTATGCCATCTAGCTTTAGTAATATTCACAGTGGCCAAGCTAGTTGCAATTCATCTTATTTTCATAGAAGGTGTTTGTAGAACTCAGATTATGAGGCACAACATTTCTATCTTTATTTTTATTTATAATTTTATTGTTGATTACTATTAATCTTAACATTTACCTTTAAACACTTCCAATCTATTAATAGAACTCTAACAGTTTATAATACAATACAAAGTTCTGGAAAAAAGTAGCATTTTTGACCTGAACTTCATGTGATCGTTACAGAACGGCACCATGGGAAGCTTTTCGACAACTAACTGGAACCAGACAGACTCTGAACAGGTAAGAATTCCAGTTTGGGGCGGGAGAGGGGTGCTAAAATTCAATATGGAACAATTTTCTTCTGTAATTAGGTTTCGAATTCTGCTATTCTATATATAATGCACTGTTTTTTAATACCGTTGCAATAAAAATGTTTACTTTATATTCATTAACCTTGGAACAAAATGTTTCTGTGCTGAGGGTGAGGAAAAATAAAATCTCAAGAAAAACAAATTATGTCATGATACTGAAAAAGTAGAAATGAATACTAACAAGTCACAGTATCTAGAGATCTTAGCTCCAAAAGGCAAAATGCAGAGCATATTTGTCACTTGTTTGTTCTGATAAAGATACATATAATTCCACTGTACTAGCAAAGCCCACATAGATGGAAACTTGGTCAGTAAGGGGTTCACAGAGGCCCATAGTCTGCAAGTTTTTGTGTTAGCAAGGTTTGGAACATTTCCATTAACAATGCATTTGGATAAGGAACGTTAGCTGCACTTAGTAAAGGACCCTTAAAACGATTAATAATTTCTTTCCTTGCACTAGAAAAGAGGATAGTATACAAGGCACAGTAACTAAAAACATCTTCTGGGTAAATACTAAAGACAACAAACATGAGCAAATGCAGAGAAAAATCTTTCTTACAGATAAAGTGACATAAATCAAATGAGTCCTGCCTACATAAGTTATTTTCAATTATTCTTTACCACTTCAAACAGGAACCAGACAATCTGCGAAGAGACTGTCTTTATGAATAGAATGAGCATGCTGTTGGTTTCACCTGTCATCTTTCAATTACAGTGAATCTACTTCTTGTGGTGTGAATTTAACCTAATTCCACCATGTTTCTCCTGGCATTGAAGTACATAATCCGACTATTACTTAGCAGAAAATGCTCTCTATTTCATAAAAATAATCTTCTTATTTACAGTGTTACCAAGCTTTGATCTCAGATACTTCTTTCAAATTAGCCCATGAGACATTTCCAATAGATGTTTATAATTTCTACTGCTTAGTGATAATGCACTGATTACTAAGAATGGTACATTAAGTTTTAAATTATTCTCTTTATCTGTACATGTTTCAGAGAGAGTCAGCAATCATCAGAACAGTGGCAGAAAATGTATGGCAGATGCTCTGGTAATGAAGTGTTTCACATTAACCTGGAAGAAAGTACTTTTTTTGCTGAGTATGAGGGGAAAAGCTTCACATATGCTTCTTTCCATGCACATAAAAAGTATGTTTATTTTCCTATAAAAGACTGACTTTAAAATTTTGCCTCAAATGTAGCTCTGCATTCAAAAGTGCAATATCAGGCATTACTCTGTTTCTGGATTAAAACATCTGGTCACCAATATACTCAATTGTATATTAGGAAATATATTTCATTCAATTGTAACTTCTGTAAGTTACAGTTGGTCATGTAAAGGCTAATATTGGTTCTTTATAGGCAGCTCAATCTGAGAGAATAGAATATAAAGGATATATAGGATAAGCTTGATAACCATAATGAATCATACCTTAGACACAGATTACATCAGAACACAAATCCTTTTCATTTTTTTTTTTTCAGTGGTTTGATTCAGGAGCCAGCTGGAAATCCAGCATGTTCAGTTTTACGCAAAGCTTTCAATTTTAAGCTGATTCCTGCTATACCCCAGTGATTGTCCAGAATACTTTTTTCCCCACTTAGATTCAATTTTAAGAACATTAATACATCTTCTTTATGTTCCAGATCATGCATCTTTTATTCAGTACTGTTGTGTGAATGGAACTCATCAAAACTTTGAACGTTGATCTTATTTTCATAATTAATAAGAGACCAAAGATTATTTCAGTTTTATTTCCTTATTTTCTCTGACTAATTAAATAGATTTTAGAAGTGAATGGCTGAATATTCTTAAAGTAGTTTCCAGGACATGGAACAATTTAACATGATGAATACATTTTTCATAGAAAGTATCCATTTCTCTGTTAATAATTTCTCAGAAGGGATTAATCATCTGATAGAAAAATTAACTGAGACATCTCTAGTAGAATCTCCAGAGATAAAGAAACACATTGGAATCAGATACCTTGGATTCATCATTTAAAAAAAACTGCTTGATGATCCACTTTAGGAGATAACATTTTTTCAAACATTTGACAACAAAAATTCTGGAAAGATTCTATTTGTACAGTATAAAATATACAGAAGGCTCGTTTTTGACAGTGGAAATTCTAGTATATACAGAACTATAAAAAATGAACCATGCCTCTCCTTTTCTAATTAAGGTTTGGAGTCTGTCTGATTGGTGTTAGAAAGGAAGATAACAAAAACATTTTGCTGAATCCAGGTCCTCGGTATATCATGAGTTCTACAGATATATGCTTTTATATAAATATCACCAAAGAAGAGAATTCTGCTTTCAAGAAGCAAGAAAAACACAGAAAAAGACATGAATCAAAATTATCTTATCATGGAGCATCTAGGTTGCCTGTACACAGTATAATAGCCAGCATGGGTAAGTTAACAGAAAAACATATCTCACAACATGTTCAATTAACAGTGCATTTCAAGCTTTTAAGAATGTATTCCTGTAATTAAAAAATTAAAATAGAGTGCAGAAAGTATATTAAACATTTCCCGTTTTCTTTTCCTAAAAAGGGTATTTTTCCCTTAACTGTATATATATATATATATATATATATATATATATATATGTGTGTGTGT